TGACGTGTGTGATGTATGACGTGTGTGATGTATGACGTGTGTGATGTATGACGTGTGTGATGTATGACGTGTGTGATGTATGACGTGTGTGATGTATGAAGTGTGTGTGTGATATCTGACATGTTATAAGGTGTGTAAAGCGAGATATCAAGTATTGCTATAGTGATATTTCTATATCATGGTACCCTTTATAAGGGGTTCAGTCAATGTCTATATCATGGTACCCTTTATAAGGGGTTCAGTCAATGTCTATATCATGGTACCCTTTATAAGGGGTTCAGTCAATGTCTATATCATGGTACCCTTTATAAGAGGTTCAGTCAATGTCTATATCATGGTACCCTTTATAAGGGGTTTAGTCAATGTCTATATCATGGTACCCTTTATAAGGGGTTCAGTCATTGTGCACATGAAGCTGGTGGGTTTGGTACCACCAAATATAAAAAAGGTTAAGAACCACTGTTGTAAGCAACATGCAAGCCTACAACTACAGGTGGTGAAGATATGTCAAGCATAGTATCAAATAAAGCACAAAGGTATTATAAACTAAACCAGCAACCACATAATGCTAATTCACTAGAGAAGCAAATTAATGTTTTAACTTGTTTTTATGTGCCATTCAATTTAATGATGATAAGGTTTTTTAATGGTCAATTTAACATCAAATTATGGACATGAATTGTCAGTTCAAAATGTATAGTCAGTTTTAATGGTCAGTCTAGATGTGAGATGGATGAGTTTGTGGTCAGTCTAGATGTGAGATGGATGAGTTTGTGGTCAGTTCTAATGGTCAGTCTAGATGTGAGATGGATGAGTTTGTGGTCAGTTCTAATGGTCAGTCTAGATGTGAGATGGATGAGTTTGTGGTCAGTTCTAATGGTCAGTCTAGATGTGAGATGGATGAGTTTGTGGTCAGTTCTAATGGTCAGTCTAGATGTGAGATGGATGAGTTTGTGGTCAGTTCTAATGGTCAGTCTAGATGTGAGATGGATGAGTTTGTGGTCAGTTCTAATGGTCAGTCTAGATGTGAGATGGATGAGTTTGTGGTCAGTCTAGATGTGAGATGGATGAGTTTGTGGTCAGTCTAGATGTGAGATGGATGAGTTTGTGGTCAGTCTAGATGTGAGATGGATGAGTTTGTGGTCAGTTCTAATGGTCAGTCTAGATGTGAGATGGATGAGTTTGTGGTCAGTCTAGATGTGAGATGGATGAGTTTGTGGTCAGTTCTAATGGTCAGTCTAGATGTGAGATAGATGAGTTTGTGGTCAGTTCTAATGGTCAGTCTAGATGTGAGATGGATGAGTTTGTGGTCAGTTCTAATGGTCAGTCTAGATGTGAGATGGATGAGTTTGTGGTCAGTTCTAATAGTCAGTCTAGATGTGAGATGGATGAGTTTGTGGTCAGTTCTAATGGTCAGTCTAGATGTGAGATGGATGAGTTTGTGGTCAGTCTAGATGTGAGATGGATGAGTTTGTGGTCAGTCTAGATGTGAGATGGATGAGTTTGTGGTCAGTCTAGATGTGAGATGGATGAGTTTGTGGTCAGTCTAGATGTGAGATGGATGAGTTTGTGGTCAGTTCTAATGGTCAGTCTAGATGTGAGATGGATGAGTTTGTGGTCAGTTCTAATGGTCAGTCTAGATGTGAGATGGATGAGTTTGTGGTCAGTTCTAATGGTCAGTCTAGATGTGAGATGGATGAGTTTGTGGTCAGTCTAGATGTAAGATGGATGAGTTTGTGGTCAGTCTAGATGTGAGATGGATGAGTTTGTGGTCAGTTCTAATGGTCAGTCTAGATGTGAGCTGGATGAGTTTGTGGTCAGTTCTAATGGTCAGTCTAGATGTGAGATGGATGAGTTTGTGGTCAGTTCTAATGGTCAGTCTAGATGTGAGATGGATGAGTTTGTGGTCAGTCTAGATGTGAGATGGATGAGTTTGTGGTCAGTTCTAATGGTCAGTCTAGATGTGAGATGGATGAGTTTGTGGTCAGTCTAGATGTGAGATGGATGAGTTTGTGGTCAGTCTAGATGTGAGATGGATGAGTTTGTGGTCAGTTCTAATGGTCAGTCTAGATGTGAGCTGGATGAGTTTGTGGTCAGTTCTAATGGTCAGTCTAGATGTGAGATGGATGAGTTTGTGGTCAGTTCTAATGGTCAGTCTAGATGTGAGATGGATGAGTTTGTGGTCAGTTCTAATGGTCAGTCTAGATGTGAGATGGATGAGTTTGTGGTCAGTTCTAATGGTCAGTCTAGATGTGAGATGGATGAGTTTGTGGTCAGTCTAGATGTGAGATGGATGAGTTTGTGGTCAGTCTAGATGTGAGATGGATGAGTTTGTGGTCAGTTCTAATGGTCAGTCTAGATGTGAGATGGATGAGTTTGTGGTCAGTCTAGATGTGAGATAGATGAGTTTGTGGTCAGTTCTAATGGTCAGTCTAGATGTGAGATGGATGAGTTTGTGGTCAGTTCTAATGGTCAGTCTAGATGTGAGATGGATGAGTTTGTGGTCAGTCTAGATGTGAGATGGATGAGTTTGTGGTCAGTCTAGATGTGAGATGGATGAGTTTGTGGTCAGTTCTAATGGTCAGTCTAGATGTGAGATGGATGAGTTTGTGGTCAGTTCTAATGGTCAGTCTAGATGTGAGATGGATGAGTTTGTGGTCAGTTCTAATGGTCAGTCTAGATGTGAGATGGATGAGTTTGTGGTCAGTTCTAATGGTCAGTCTAGATGTGAGATGGATGAGTTTGTGGTCAGTCTAGATGTGAGATGGATGAGTTTGTGGTCAGTCTAGATGTGAGATGGATGAGTTTGTGGTCAGTTCTAATGGTCAGTCTAGATGTGAGATGGATGAGTTTGTGGTCAGTTCTAATGGTCAGTCTAGATGTGAGATGGATGAGTTTGTGGTCAGTTCTAATGGTCAGTCTAGATGTGAGATGGATGAGTTTGTGGTCAGTCTAGATGTGAGATGGATGAGTTTGTGGTCAGTTCTAATGGTCAGTCTAGATGTGAGATGGATGAGTTTGTGGTCAGTCTAGATGTGAGATGGATGAGTTTGTGGTCAGTCTAGATGTGAGATGGATGAGTTTGTGGTCAGTTCTAATGGTCAGTCTAGATGTGAGCTGGATGAGTTTGTGGTCAGTTCTAATGGTCAGTCTAGATGTGAGATGGATGAGTTTGTGGTCAGTTCTAATGGTCAGTCTAGATGTGAGATGGATGAGTTTGTGGTCAGTTCTAATGGTCAGTCTAGATGTGAGATGGATGAGTTTGTGGTCAGTTCTAATGGTCAGTCTAGATGTGAGATGGATGAGTTTGTGGTCAGTCTAGATGTGAGATGGATGAGTTTGTGGTCAGTCTAGATGTGAGATGGATGAGTTTGTGGTCAGTTCTAATGGTCAGTCTAGATGTGAGATGGATGAGTTTGTGGTCAGTCTAGATGTGAGATAGATGAGTTTGTGGTCAGTTCTAATGGTCAGTCTAGATGTGAGATGGATGAGTTTGTGGTCAGTTCTAATGGTCAGTCTAGATGTGAGATGGATGAGTTTGTGGTCAGTCTAGATGTGAGATGGATGAGTTTGTGGTCAGTCTAGATGTGAGATGGATGAGTTTGTGGTCAGTTCTAATGGTCAGTCTAGATGTGAGATGGATGAGTTTGTGGTCAGTTCTAATGGTCAGTCTAGATGTGAGATGGATGAGTTTGTGGTCAGTTCTAATGGTCAGTCTAGATGTGAGATGGATGAGTTTGTGGTCAGTTCTAATGGTCAGTCTAGATGTGAGATGGATGAGTTTGTGGTCAGTCTAGATGTGAGATGGATGAGTTTGTGGTCAGTCTAGATGTGAGATGGATGAGTTTGTGGTCAGTTCTAATGGTCAGTCTAGATGTGAGATGGATGAGTTTGTGGTCAGTTCTAATGGTCAGTCTAGATGTGAGATGGATGAGTTTGTGGTCAGTTCTAATGGTCAGTCTAGATGTGAGATGGATGAGTTTGTGGTCAGTTCTAATGGTCAGTCTAGATGTGAGATGGATGAGTTTGTGGTCAGTCTAGATGTGAGATGGATGAGTTTGTGGTCAGTTCTAATGGTCAGTCTAGATGTGAGATGGATGAGTTTGTGGTCAGTTCTAATGGTCAGTCTAGATGTGAGATGGATGAGTTTGTGGTCAGTTCTAATGGTCAGTCTAGATGTGAGATGGATGAGTTTGTGGTCAGTTCTAATGGTCAGTCTAGATGTGAGATGGATGAGTTTGTGGTCAGTTCTAATGGTCAGTCTAGATGTGAGATGGATGAGTTTGTGGTCAGTTCTAATGGTCAGTCTAGATGTGAGATGGATGAGTTTGTGGTCAGTTCTAATGGTCAGTCTAGATGTGAGATGGATGAGTTTGTGGTCAGTTCTAATGGTCAGTCTAGATGTGAGATGGATGAGTTTGTGGTCAGTTCTAATGGTCAGTCTAGATGTGAGATGAATGAGTTTGTGGTCAGTTTAGATGTGAGATGGATGAGTTTGTGGTCAGTTCTAATGGTCAGTCTAGATGTGAGATGGATGAGTTTGTGGTCAGTTCTAATGGTCAGTCTAGATGTGAGATGGATGAGTTTGTGGTCAGTTCTAATGGTCAGTCTAGATGTGAGATGGATGAGTTTGTGGTCAGTCTAGATGTGAGATGGATGAGTTTGTGGTCAGTTCTAATGGTCAGTCTAGATGTGAGATGGATGAGTTTGTGGTCAGTCTAGATGTGAGATAGATGAGTTTGTGGTCAGTTCTAATGGTCAGTCTAGATGTGAGAAGGATGAGTTTGTGGTCAGTTCTAATGGTCAGTCTAGATGTGAGATGGATGAGTTTGTGGTCAGTCTAGATGTGAGATGGATGAGTTTGTGGTCAGTCTAGATGTGAGATGGATGAGTTTGTGGTCAGTTCTAATGGTCAGTCTAGATGTGAGATGGATGAGTTTGTGGTCAGCTCTAATGGTCAGTCTAAATGGGAGATGGATGAGTTTGTGGTCAGGCCTTACGTTGGTGTGTGATGTAGCTGAGGGCTGACCAATGACCATCTGAACAGCGCTAACATGCTCAGCACCACCAGAAATTGTGTTGGCTCTCTGAGGTCCATTGCTGCGACCAAAACGAGCTTGGACAAAACGTGAAGAACTCACTGGCTTAGAACTACTCACACTTGATGATACCAGCTAGACAGAAAAATTCTTCACATTATTTGGGTCACTATGTGGCCCATGTCAGAGGGGGGGAACTTGAAGGCAATCCATCCAATGAAAAAATTTGTTAGTAACAAAAGAGGGATTAGGATATTTTAATGTGTGTGTCCCTCACAAAACTAATGTCAATGTGTGGTCCCTCACAAAACTAATGTCAATGTGTGGGCCCTCACAAAACTAATGTCAATGTGTGGTCCCTCACAAAACTAATGTCAATGTGTGTGGGCCCTCACAAAACTAATGTCAATGTGTGGGTCCCTCACAAAACTAATGTCAATGTGTGGGCCCTCACAAAACTAATGTCAATGGGTGTGGTCCCTCACAAAGCTGATTAGAACAACACAAGAGGAAGCATGCCAAGTTTAGTGCAGTGGTGACCAAAGGGCTATGGGGAGGTTTTAATACCCACATGTGGGGGAGGTTTTAATCCCTACAGATTGAACTCCCTGAATGTCAGGGAGGGGAGGTTTGACTATCCTGTCACAATAGGACATATTTTTTAAGTAGAATGCCTTTTTTAAATTGTAAGATGTCCATACAATAGCAGGCTCCACCCCCTAGCACAGTGCTCACCACTAGACTCAAGTCAATGAAAAACGTGGGCAATGTGGCTGAAATGTGGCTGAAATGTGGCTGAAATGTGCAGTAAAAAGTAGAGAGAAGATGTAAACAAACATGGTCCCCAGCTGAGGGGTCTCCTGTGTGGCCATTGACGTGGTGGACAACGTGGCTGCTAGCCAGAGGCAGGGAGGCTGGTGAGGGTCTGCCATGGGCTGTGGTCACGGCTGTGGTCAGGGCTGTGGTCAGGGCTCCAGGGGTGGATGAGGATACGGATGAATCACTGAAACAAATCAACAACTTTGTTATGTGGTCTTATGGTGGACTGGTCATGTGGTCTTATGGTGGACTGGGGAACAGGGCATTTCCCCCCTGTCAATTACCCCCGTATATTCCCCCCCCCCCCCGACATTACCCCCCAGAGTAATTACCCCCCCCCCTATCAATTACCCCCCGCCCAGTAGGACATTACCCCCCCCCCCCCCCCCCCCCTCCGGACAGGGTTAGAGTTAGGGTTAGGTTTAGGGCTAGGGTTAGGGTTAGGATTAGGGCTAGGGTTAGGATTAGGGCAAGGGCTAGGGCTAGGGTTAGGGTTAGGATTAGGGCTAGGGTTAAGATTAGGGTTAGGGTTGTGTCTAGCTTTGGTTTTCGTTTTGTGTGAAGTTTTAGGCTAAGGTGGATGCTTAGGTTTTGGTCTTTTTCTTAAATTTGGATTAAAGTAGTATATAGGTATAAAATTCTAGTTAGGGTTAGGATTTTAACTTGAGAGGGGGGAGGGGGGTAATTGACAGGGGGGTAATTGACAGGGGGGTAATTGCTCCGGGGGGGGGGGGGGGGTAAATACGGGGGGGGAATGTCCGGGGGGGAAATATCCAGGGGGGTAATGTCCGGTGGACTGGTCATGTGACTGGTCATGTGGTCTTATGGTGGACTGGTCATGTGGTCTTATGGTGGACTGGTCATGTGGTCTTATGGTGGACTGGTCATGTGGTCTTATGGTGGACTGGTCATGTGGTCTTATGGTGGACTGGTCTTATGGTGGACTGGTCATGTGGTCTTATGGTGGACTGGTCTTATGGTGGACTGGTCATGTGGTCTTATGGTGGACTGGTCATGTGGTCTTATGGTGGACTGGTCATGTGGTCTTATGGTGGACTGGTCATGTGGTCTTATGGTGGACTGGTCATGTGGTCGTATGGTGGACTGGTCATTTGATGCTTAATTACCTATCCCCATCCTCCCTATGACCACTAAGCCTGCGGATGTTTTTGATAGAAGCTGGTTCATGTTTCTCCGAGCCATTCCATTGGCTGGGTGCAGACATTGGGGAGGGTGTTCTGAAAACCACTGGAGCATGACCCTCTGGGGAGATTCTCTGTGTAGTGGGCGGGGCTGCAGAGAAGGGTGCGGCTGTACGATTGATGGCTCGGTAGGTTGTTATCTGTGGCGGCTTGCTCAGAGAACTTAACTGGGAGATTGTTCAAACATCATTCATAAAACATTGCATATAAAACAGCATTCATAAAACATGACTCATAAAACATCATTCATCAAACATCACTCATAAAACATTGCATATTAAATGTCGTTCATAAAAAATCATTCATGAACATTTCATATAAAACATCATTCATCAAACATCACTCATAAAACATTGCATATAACACATTCCTGAGATTTATGTATGTGTGGGTGACAGATTAGTGTGGGGAACATACCTGAGATGTGTGGGTGACAGATTAGTGTGGGGAACATACCTGAGATGTGTGGGTGACAGATTAGTGTGGGGAACATACCTGACATGTGTGGGTTACAGATTAGTGTGGGGAACATACCTGAGATGTGTGGGTGACAGTGTGGGGAACATACCTGACATGTGTGGGTGACAGATTAGTGTGGGGAACATACCTGAGATGTGTGAGTGACAGATTAGTGTGGGGAACATACCTGAGATGTGTGGGTGACTAGTGTGTGGGACATACCTGAGATGTGTGGGTGACAGATTAGTGTGGGGAACATACCTGAGATGTGTGGGTGACAGATTGGTGTGGGGAACATACCTGAGATGTGTGGGTGACAGATTAGTGTGGGGAACATACCTGAGATGTGTGGGTGACAGATTAGTGTGGGGAACATACCTGAGATGTGTGGGTGACAGATTAGTGTGGGGAACATACCTGAGATGTGTGGGTGACAGATTAGTGTGGGGAACATACCTGAGATGTGTGGGTGACTAGTGTGGGGGACATACCTGAGATGTGTGGGTGACAGATTAGTGTGGGAACATACCTGAGATGTGTGGGTGACAGATTAGTGTGGGGAACATACCTGAGATGTGTGGGTGACAGATTAGTGTGGGGAACATACCTGAGATGTGTGGGTGACAGATTAGTGTGGGGAACATACCTGAGATGTGTGGGTGACAGATTAGTGTGGGAACATACCTGAGATGTGTGGGTGACAGATTAGTGTGGGGAACATACCTGAGATGTGTGGGTGACAGATTAGTGTGGGGAACATACCTGAGATGTGTGGGTGACAGATTGGTGTGGGGGACATACCTGAGATGTGTGGGTGACAGATTAGTGTGGGGAACATACCTGAGATGTGTGGGTGACAGATTAGTGTGGGGAACATACCTGAGATGTGTGGGTGACAGATTAGTGTGGGGAACATACCTGAGATGTGTGGGTGACAGATTAGTGTGGGGAACATACCTGAGATGTGTGGGTGACTAGTGTGGGGAACATACCTGAAATGTGTGGGTGACTAGTGTGGGGAACATACCTGAGATGTGTGGGTGACTAGTGTGGGGAACATACCTGAAATGTGTGGGTGACTAGTGTGGGGAACATACCTGAGATGTGTGGGTGACAGATTGGTGTGGGGAACATACCTGAGATGTGTGGGTGACAGATTAGTGTGGGGAACATACCTGAGATGTGTGGGTGACAGATTAGTGTGGGGAACATACCTGAGATGTGTGGGTGACAGATTAGTGTGGGGAACATACCTGAAATGTGTGGGGGACAGATTAGTGTGGGGAACATACCTGAGATGTGTGGGTGACAGATTAGTGTGGGGAACATACCTGAGATGTGTGGGTGACAGATTGGTGTGGGGAACATACCTGAGATGTGTGGGTGACAGATTAGTGTGGGGAACATACCTGAGATGTGTGGGTGACAGATTAGTGTGGGGAACATACCTGAAATGTGTGGGTGACAGATTAGTGTGGGGAACATACCTGAGATGTGTGGGTGACAGATTAGTGTGGGGAACATACCTGAGATGTGTGGGTGACAGATTAGTGTGGGGAACATACCTGAGATGTGTGGGTGACAGATTAGTGTGGGGAACATACCTGAGATGTGTGGGTGACAGATTAGTGTGGGGAACATACCTGAGATGTGTGGGTGACAGATTAGTGTGGGGAACATACCTGAGATGTGTGGGTGACAGATTAGTGTGGGGAACATACCTGAGATGTGTGGGTGACAGTGTGGGGAACATACCTGAGATGTGTGGGTGACAGATTAGTGTGGGGAACATACCTGAGATGTGTGAGTGACAGATTAGTGTGGGGAACATACCTGAGATGTGTGGGTGACAGATTAGTGTGGGGAACATACCTGAGATGTGTGGGTGACAGATTAGTGTGGGGAACATACCTGAGATGTGTGGGTGACAGATTAGTGTGGGAACATACCTGAGATGTGTGGGTGACAGATTAGTGTGGGAACATACCTGAGATGTGTGGGTGACAGTGTGGGGAACATACCTGAAATGTGTGGGTGGCAGATTAGTGTGGGGAACATACCTGAAATGTGTGGGTGGCAGATTAGTGTGGGGAACATACCTGAGATGTGTGGGTGACAGATTAGTGTGGGGAACATACCTGAGATGTGTGGGTGACAGACTAGTGTGGGGAACATACCTGAGATGTGTGGGTGACAGATTGGTGTGGGGAACATACCTGAGATGTGTGGGTGACAGATTAGTGTGGGGAACATACCTGAGATGTGTGGGAGACAGATTAGTGTGGGGAACATACCTGAGATGTGTGGGTGACAGATTAGTGTGGGGAACATACCTGACATGTGAGGGTGACAGATTAGTGTGGGGAACATACCTGACATGTGTGGGTGACAGATTAGTGTGGGGAACATACCTGAGATGTGTGGGAGACAGATTAGTGTGGGGAACATACCTGAGATGTGTGGGTGACAGATTAGTGTGGGGAACATACCTGACATGTGTGGGTGACAGATTAGTGTGGGGAACATACCTGAGATGTGTGAGTGACAGATTAGTGTGGGGAACATACCTGAGATGTGTGGGTGACAGATTAGTGTGGGGAACATACCTGAGATGTGTGGGTGACAGATTAGTGTGGGGAACATACCTGAGATGTGTGGGAGACAGATTAGTGTGGGGAACATACCTGAGATGTGTGGGTGACAGATTAGTGTGGGGAACATACCTGAAATGTGTGGGTGACAGATTAGTGTGGGGAACATACCTGAGATGTGTGGGTGACAGATTAGTGTGGGGAACATACCTGAGATGTGTGGGTGACAGATTAGTGTGGGGAACATACCTGAGATGTGTGGGAGACAGATTAGTGTGGGGAACATACCTGAGATGTGTGGGTGACTAGTGTGGGGAACATACCTGAAATGTGTGGGTGACTAGTGTGGGGAACATACCTGAGATGTGTGGGTGACAGATTGGTGTGGGGAACATACCTGAGATGTGTGGGTGACAGATTAGTGTGGGGAACATACCTGAAATGTGTGGGGGACAGATTAGTGTGGGGAACATACCTGAGATGTGTGGGTGACAGATTAGTGTGGGGAACATACCTGAGATGTGTGGGTGACAGATTGGTGTGGGGAACATACCTGAGATGTGTGGGTGACAGATTAGTGTGGGGAACATACCTGAGATGTGTGGGTGACAGATTAGTGTGGGGAACATACCTGAAATGTGTGGGTGACAGATTAGTGTGGGGAACATACCTGAGATGTGTGGGTGACAGATTAGTGTGGGGAACATAACTGAGATGTGTGGGTGACAGATTAGTGTGGGGAACATACCTGAGATGTGTGGGTGACAGATTGGTGTGGGGAACATACCTGAGATGTGTGGGTGACAGATTAGTGTGGGGAACATAACTGAGATGTGTGGGTGACAGATTAGTGTGGGGAACATACCTGAGATGTGTGGGTGACAGATTAGTGTGGGGAACATACCTGAGATGTGTGGGTGACAGATTAGTGTGGGGAACATACCTGAGATGTGTGGGTGACAGACTAGTGTGGGGAACATACCTGAGATGTGTGGGTGACAGATTAGTGTGGGGAACATACCTGAGATGTGTGGGTGACTGGTGTGGGGAACATACCTGAGATGTGTGGGTGACAGATTAGTGTGGGGAACATACCTGAGATGTGTGGGTGACTGGTGTGGGGAACATACCTGGGGCTGGACAGCAGAAGACATGGATACCCGAGGCTTGTCAAGTATTGTCCCATTCTGTTGACAAAACACACTTATACAAGTCTGTCTGTTTGTGGGTTTGTGGCATATCTTTAAACTTAAAATTGACACACTTGTATTTTAACGATCCAGATATTTTCATCTTGATGAATTTTATTTTATGCGTAGTCTAAACTAGACAATTTCTAAACATTTGTGACCTATGTACCATGAATTAGCTATTGTCTTAACATGTAAAACTAATTTGCTTGTTCTCACTGATGTTATTGTCATATCATTGGTACAAAATGATGGGCCAACTGAAAATCTGATGGCCAACTGATAATCTGAGGGGCCAACTGATAATCTGATGGCCAACTGATAATCTGATGGGCCAACTGATAATCTGATGGGCCAACTGATAATCTGATGGCCAACTGATAATCTGATGGCCAACTGATAATCTGATGGGCCAACTGATAATCTGAGGGGCCAACTGATAATCTGATGGGCCAACTGATAATCTGAGGGGCCAACTGATAATCTGATGGGCCAACTGATAATCTGATGGGCCAACTGATAATCTGCTGGCCAACTGAAAGTCAGATGGGCCAACTGATAATCTAATGGGCCAACTGATAATCTAATGGGCCAACTGATAATCTGAGGGGCCAACTGATAATCTGATGGGCCAACTGATAATCTGAGGGGCCAACTGATAATCTGATGGGCCAACTGATAATCTGATGGGCCAACTGATAATCTGCTGGCCAACTGAAAGTCAGATGGGCCAACTGATAATCTAATGGGCCAACTGATAATCTGAGGGGCCAACTGATAATCTGATGGGCCAACTGATAATCTGAGGGGCCAACTGATAATCTGATGGGCCAACTGATAATCTGATGGGCCAACTGATAATCTGATGGGCCAACTGATAATCTAATGGGCCAACTGATAATCTGAGGGGCCAACTGATAATCTGATGGGCCAACTGATAATCTGATGGGCCAACTGATAATCTAATGGGCCAACTGATAATCTGATGGGCCAACTGATAAGCTGAGGGGCCAACTGATAATCTGATGGGCCAACTGATAATCTGATGGGCCAACTGATTATCTGATGGGCCAACTGATAATCTGATGGGCCAACTGATAATCTGATGGGCCAACTGAAAGTGGCCAACCAATCTCAAAATTCTTGAAAAGGTTGTACTAACCTCTAAATTAATTAAAATGGGACCTCTGTTGATGCCACTAGTCCACTCATCTGCTGTCAATGAGGGGATGGTACTGGCAGTGGGTGGATACACATCATGCTGGAACCCTTCCGCCTGGACAAGTGGACAGGTCATTTATGACAGGTGGACAGGTCATTTGTGGCAGGTGGACAGGTCATTTGTGACAGGTGGACAGGTCATTTGTGACATGTGGACAGGTCATTTGTGACAGGTGGACAGGTGATTTGTGACAGGTGGACAGGTGATTTGTGACAGATGGACAGGTCATTTGTGATAAGTGGACAGGTCATTTGTGACAGGTTGACAGACAGGTGGACAGGTCATTTGTGGCAGGTAGACAGGTCATTTGTGACAGGTGGACAGGTCATTTGTGACAGGTGGACAGGTCATTTGTGACAGGTGGACAGGTCATTTGTGACAGGTGGACAGGTCATTTGTGACAGGTGGACAGGTCATTTGTGACAGGTGAACAGACAGGTGGATAGGTAATTTGTGACAGGTGGACATGTCATTTGTGACAGGTGGAAAGGTCATTTGTGACAGGTGAACAGGTCATTTGTGACAGGTGGACAGGTCATTTGTGACAGGTGGACAGGTCATTTGTGACAGGTAGACATGGTCATTTGTGACAGGTGGACAGGTCATTTGTGACAGGTGGACAGGTGATTTGTGACAGGTGGACAGGTCATTTGTGACAGGTGGACAGGTCATTTGTGACAGGTGAACAGACAGGTGGATAGGTAATTTGTGACAGGTGGACAGGTAATTTGTGACAGGTGGACAGGTCATTTGTGACAGGTGGACAGGTCATTTGTGATAGGTGGACATGGTCATTTGTGACAGGTGGAAAGGTCATTTGTGACAGGTGGACAGGTCATTTGTGGCAGGTGGACAGGTCATTTGTGACAGGTGGACAGGTCATTTGTGACAGGTGGACAGGTCATTTGTGACAGGTGGACAGGTCATTTGTGACAGGTGGACAGGTCATTTGTGACAAGTGGACAGGTAATTTCTGACAGGTGGACATGGTCATTTGTGACAGGTGGTGATTTGTGACAGCCCAAGCAAGCATACCATTAATTAAAATCACTCTACCTTTCTAGGTACGATCATAGAAATAGGTTCCACCAGGTTTTTGGATGCATGGAGCTTATAAAACCTGGCCACTTCATTTTTAAATGGGTCAATGCCTCGTTTTGGCATCATGCCTGAAAAAGATTGGGGTGGGGGGAGGGTATGGAATAGAGAATACTCAGACTAAAAAATGTAATATCTAACCACTTCATTCAGATCAAAGTCAAGCAGTCAGCCAGCCATCAAGTCAAGCAAGCAGTCAGCCAGCCATCAAGTCAAGCAAGCAGTCAAGTCAGTACGTGACCCATCCAGCAAATCAGCCAGCATTTCATTCAGTCAGCCAGCAAGTCAATCAGTCAGCCAGCAAGTCAATCAGTCAGCCAGCAAGTCAATCAGTCAGCCAGCATTTCATTCAGTCAGCCAGCAAGTCAATCAGTCAGCCAGCAAGTCAATCAGTCAGCCAGCAAGTCAATCAGTCAGCCAGCAAGTCAATCAGTCAGCCAGCAAGTCATTCAGTCAGCCAGCAAGTCAATCAGTCAGCCAGCAAGTCAATCAGTCAGCCAGCAAGTCAATCAGTCAGCCAGCAAGACAATCAGTCAGCCAGCAAGTCATTCAGTCAGCCAGCAAGTCAATCAGTCAGCCAGCAAGTCATTCAGTCAGCCAGCAAGTCATTCAGTCAGCCAGCAAGTCAATCAGCCAGCAAGTCAATCAGTCAGCCAGCAAGTCATTCAGTCAGATAAGCTGGTAAGAAAGATAACAGAACTCACCTAACCCCCTCTGTCCAGCTAGCAGGTCAGCTGGTAAGAAAGATAACAGAACTCACCTAACCCCCTCTGTCCAGCTAGCAGGTCAGCTGGTAAGAAAGATAACAGAACTCACCTAACCCCCTCTGTCCAGCTAGCAGGTCAACTGGTAAGAAAGATAACAGAACTCACCTAACCCCCTCTGTGGTAGTGCTGATTGGTATGTGTTTAAGAAATAGATTTCACTTTCTTCTGTGTCAATTTCAAAGTATCTGATGTTGCCATCACCCTGGGTTTAAAGGTTGTTAGCATAAATTAGATGAAATTAGCTTTAACAAGTATCTGATGGTGTCATTACCCTGGGTTCAATAAATTACAAGAAATAAATTTATAACATGGTGACATGTAATATGTAGCTTACATGTGTGGCTGATGTAATATGTAGCTTACATGTGTGGCTGATATAGCTTACATGTGTGGCTGATGTAGCTTACATGTGTGGCTGATGTAATATGTAGCTTACATGTGTGGCTGATGTAGCTTACATGTGTGGCTGATGTAATATGTAGCTTACATGTGTGGCTGATGTAATATGTAGCTTACATGTGTGGCTGATGTAATATGTAGCTTACATGTGTGGCTGATGTAATATGTAGCTTACATGTGTGGCTGATGTTATATATAGCTTACATGAGTGGCTGATGTAATATGTAGCTTACATGTGTGGCTGATGTAGCTTACATGTGTGGCTGATGTAATATGTAGCTTACATGTGTGGCTGATGTAATATGTAGCTTACATGTGTGGCTGATGTTATATATAGCTTACATGAGTGGCTGATGTAATATGTAGCTTACATGTGTGGCTGATGTAATATGTAGCCTACATGTGTGGCTATGTAATATGTAGCTTACATGTGTGGCTGATGTAATATGTAGCCTACATGTGTGGCTATGTAATATGTAGCTTACATGTGTGGCTGATGTAATATGTAGCTTACAAGTGTGGCTGATGTAATATGTAGCTTACATGTGTGGCTGATGTAGCTTACATGAGTGGCTGATGTAATATGTAGCTTACATGTGTGGCTGATGTAATATGTAGCTTACATGTGTGGCTGATGTAATATGTAGCTTACATGTGTGGCTGATGTAATATGTAACTTACATGTATGGCTGATGTAATATGTAGCTTACATGTGTGGCCGATGTAATATGTAGCTTACATGTGTGGCTGATGTAATATGTAGCTTACATGTGTGGCTGATGTAATATGTAGCTTACATGTGTGGCTGATGTAGCTTACATGTGTGGCTGATGTAGCTTACATGTGTGGCTGATGTAATATGTACCTTACATGTGTGGCTGATGTAATATGTAACTTACATGTGTGGCTGATGTAATATGTAGCTTACATGTGTGGCTGATGTAGCTTACATGTGTGGCTGATGTAATATGTAGCTTACATGTGTGGCTGATGTAGCTTACATGTGTGGCTGATGTAGCTTACATGTGTGGCTGATGTAGCTTACATGTGTGGCTGATGTAGCTTACATGTGTGGCTGATGTAATATGTACCTTACATGTGTGGCTGATGTAATATGTAACTTACATGTGTAGCTGATGTAATATGTAGCTTACATGTGTGGCTGATGTAGCTTACATGTGTGGCTGATGTAGCTTACATGTGTGGCTGATGTAGCTTACATGTGTGGCTGATGTAATATGTAACTTACATGTGTGGCTGATGTAATATGTAGCTTACATGTGTGGCTGATGTAATATGTAGCTTACATGTGTGGCTGATGTAATATGTAACTTACATGTGTGGCTGATGTAATATGTAGCTTACATGTGTGGCTGATGTAATATGTAGCTTACATGTGTGGCTGATGTAATATGTAGCTTACATGTGTGGCTGATGTAATATGTAGCTTACATGTGTGGCTGATGTAGCTTACATGTGTGGCTGATGTAATATGTAGCTTACATGTGTGGCTGATGTAGCTTACATGTGTGGCTGATGTAATATGTAGCTTACATGTGTGGCTGATGTAGCTTACATGTGTGGCTGATGTAATATGTAGCTTACATGTGTGGCTGATGTAGCTTACATGTGTGGCTGATGTAATATGTAGCTTACATGTGTGGCTGATGTAGCTTACATGTGTGGCTGATGTAGCTTACATGTGTGGCTGATGTAGCTTACATGTGTGGCTGATGTAGCTTACATGTGTGGCTGATATAGCTTACATGTGTGGCTGATGTAGCTTACATGTGTGGCTGATGTAGCTTACATGTGTGGCTGATATAGCTTACATGTGTGGCTGATGTAGCTTACATGTGTGGCTGATGTAGCTTACATGTGTGGCTGATGTAGCTTACATGTGTGGCTGATGTAGCTTACATGTGTGGCTGATGTGGCTGTGTAGAAAGATGTACTCACCTTTCCAGCCAAATAAACCACTTTTGTGTCAGCATCATAATACGGCAGTAAAATCCCACTGGCACAATCAATGTCAGTCAGTGACAGGGGGTGGCCACTCTTCCTCTGTGAAACAAACAAATTCAGTGAATAAATTATAACAAAGGGTGGCCACTCTTTCTCTGTGAAACAAACTCAGTGAATAAATTAGAACATAGAGCACAGGCCGTCCTAGTGAACAAACAAACAATATACGAACCATCAATGTGATTGTAGGAAGTTTTATAATTGTTTTTTAGAGATGGTGATTGAAGGGAGATTGAAAGCCTTACCAATGAGTTGGTCAACACTGACATTCCAGAAATAGTAAGGAAACCACATCAAACAATAACTCACCACATCCCACAATGCTTTAACTCACCACATCCCACAATGCTTTAACTCACCACATCCCACAATGCTTTAACTCACCACATCCCACAATGCTTTAACTCACCACATCCCACAATAACTCACCACATCCCACAATGCTTTAACTCACCACATCCCACAATGCATACTGCCTGTCGCTAGCCCTTGAGAAGCCTGTAGTAAAGATCTGGTTATCGGACACAAAGACCACTTTCGAGGTTTTTGTGCTCTGGTGACCTTCAAACTCCTGCAAGGTCAACAATGGATTATACTCCACATCTTTTTTTGTTTAAAGTTAAACTTAATAAAACTCATGTGTTATCAAACACTGACATGATGCCATTAAATAATACCATGTCACAAAACTATGAAGTCATGTCACTGAACTATGAGGCCATGACACAAAATTATGAGGTCATGTCACTGAATTATGAGGTCATGTCACTGAACTATGAGGTCGTGTCAAAGAACTATGAGGTCATGTCACTGAACTTTGAGGTCATGTCATTGAACTATGATGTCATGTCACTGAATTATGAGGTCATGTCATTGACCTATGAGGTCATGTCTTGACCTATGAGGTCATGTCATTGACCTATGAGGTCATGTCACAAAACTATGAGGTCATGTCACAAAACTATGAGGTCATGTCATTGACCTATGAGGTCATGTCACTGAACTATGAGGTCATGTCACAAAACTATGAGGTCATGTCATTGACCTTTGAGGTCATGTCATTGACCTATGAGGTCATGTCACTGAACTATGAGGTCATGTCATTGACCTATGAGGTCATGTCTTGACCCACCACTGCCACTTTGGCCAGCCGTGGGTCCATGATGCGAATCTTCTTGTCCTTGCAAGTGGAGGCTATGAGACTGCCATCCCTTCCCCAGGAAGCTGAGTAGATGGTGTCACTGTGGCTGTCTATACAAGTGATGGGTTCTGCCTGCTCCACATTCCAGATCATGATCTGGGGAAATGACAAACAGCATGTGACATGTCTAGAAAATGTCAGCCAGCCAGCCATGTAGTCAGCCAGCCAACCACCATGAAACAACTACCAAGAGACAACCAGATGACCTACCTTAAAATCAAAGCCCACAGACATAAGTATGTTGGCAGCACTGGTGTGCCAGTCTACGTATGCCACCCTGCGGGAGTGACCATGCAGGTCAGCTGACCAGTCAGTCAAGGTCCCCAACAGTCCTGCATCTGGTATAGTCCATACCTTCACCTGTACAACAACCAGGTTAACAGGTGTACATTAAAGGTGTGCTCTCTGAAGGGCAAAGGCTAAGACATCTTGATATAAGTTGAGTGACAGACTAAGACATCTCTAACTTGATATAAGTTGAGTGACAGACTAAGACATCTCTAACTTGATATAAGTTGAGTGACAGACTAAGACATCTCTAACTTGATATAAGTTGAGTGACAGACTAAGACATCTCTAACTTGATATAAGTTGATTGACTTACAGACTAAGACATCTCTAACTTGATATAAGTTGAGTGACAGGCTAAGACATCTCTAACTTGATATAAGTATAGTGACAGGCTAAGACATCTCTAACTTGATATAAGTTGAGTGACAGATTAAGACATCTATAACTTGATATAAGTTGAGTGACAGGCTAAGACATCTCTAACTTGATATAAGTTGATTGACAGGCTAAGACATCTCTAACTTGATATAAGTTGAGTGACAGACTAAGACATCTCTAACTTGATATAAGTTGAGTGACAGACTAAGACATCTCTAACTTGATATAAGTTGAGTGACAGACTAAGACATCTCTAACTTGATATAAGTTGATTGACAGGCTAAGACATCTCTAACTTGATATAAGTTGAGTGACAGACTAAGACATCTCTAACTTGATATAAGTTGAGTGACAGACTAAGACATCTATAACTTGATATAAGTTGAGTGACAGACTAAGACATCTCTAACTTGATATAAGTTGATTGACAGGCTAAGACATCTCTAACTTGATATAAGTTGAGTGACAGGCTAAGACATCTCTAACTTGATATAACTTGAGTGACAGACTGAGACATCTCAAACTTGATATAAGTTGAGTGACAGGCTAAGACATCTCTAACTTGATATAAGTTGAGTGACAGGCTAAGACATCTCTAACTTGATATAAGTTGAGTGACAGGCTAAGACATCTCTAACTTGATATAAGTTGAGTGACAGGCTAAGACATCTCTAACTTGATATAAGTTGAGTGACAGACTAAGACATCTCTAACTTGATATAAGTTGAGTGACAGACTAAGACATCTCTAACTTGATATAAGTTGAGTGACAGGCTAAGACATCTCTAACTTGATATAAGTTGAGTGACAGGCTAAGACATCTCTAACTTGATATAAGTTGAGTGACAGGCTAAGACATCTCTAACTTGATATAAGTTGAGTGACAGACTGAGACATCTCAAACTTGATATAAGTTGAGTGACAGACTAAGACATCTCTAACTTGATATAACTTGAGTGACAGGCTAAGACATCTCTAACTTGATATAACTTGAGTGACAGGCTAAGACATCTCTAACTTGATATAACTTGAGTGACAGACTAAGACATCTCTAACTTGATATAAGTTGAGTGACAGGCTAAGACATCTTGATATAAGTTGAGTGACAGACTAAGACATCTCTAACTTGATATAACTTGAGTGACAGACTAAGACATCTATAACTTGATATAAGTTGAGTGACAGGCTAAGACATCTCTAACTTGATATAAGTTGAGTGACAGGCTAAGACATCTCTAACTTGATATAAGTTGAGTGACAGGCTAAGACATCTCTAACTTGATATAAGTTGAGTGACAGGCTAAGACATCTCTAACTTGATATAAGTTGAGTGACAGGCTAAGACATCTCTAACTTGATATAAGTTGAGTGACAGGCTAAGACATCTCTAACTTGATATAAGTTGAGTGACAGACTAAGACATCTATAACTTGATATAAGTTGAGTGACAGGCTAAGACATCTCTAACTTGATATAAGTTGATTGACAGGCTAAGACATCTCTAACTTGATATAAGTTGAGTGACAGACTAAGACATCTATAACTTGATATAAGTTGAGTGACAGGCTAAGACATCTCTAACTTGATATAAGTTGAGTGACAGGCTAAGACATCTCTAACTTGATATAAGTTGAGTGACAGGCTAAGACATCTCTAACTTGATATAAGTTGAGTGACAGGCTAAGACATCTCTAACTTGATATAAGTTGAGTGACAGACTAAGACATCTATAACTTGATATAAGTTGAGTGACAGGCTAAGACATCTCTAACTTGATATAAGTTGATTGACAGGCTAAGACATCTCTAACTTGATATAAGTTGAGTGACAGGCTAAGACATCTCTAACTTGATATAAGTTGAGTGACAGGCTAAGACATCTCTAACTTGATATAAGTTGAGTGACAGACTAAGACATCTCTAACTTGATATAAGTTGAGTGACAGACTAAGACATCTCTAACTTGATATAAGTTGAGTGACAGGCTAAGACATCTCTAACTTGATATAAGTTGAGTGACAGGCTAAGACATCTCTAACTTGATATAAGTTGAGTGACAGACTAAGACATCTCTAACTTGATATAAGTTGAGTGACAGGCTAAGACATCTCTAACTTGATATAAGTTGAGTGACAGGCTAAGACATCTCTAACTTGATATAAGTTGAGTGACAGGCTAAGACATCTCTAACTTGATATAAGTTGAGTGACAGGCTAAGACATCTCTAACTTGATATAAGTTGAGTGACAGGCTAAGACATCTCTAACTTGATATAAGTTGAGTGACAGACTAAGACATCTCTAACTTGATATAAGTTGAGTGACAGGCTAAGACATCTCTAACTTGATATAAGTTGAGTGACAGGCTAAGACATCTCTAACTTGATATAAGTTGAGTGACAGACTAAGACATCTCTAACTTGATATAAGTTGAGTGACAGGCTAAGACATCTCTAACTTGATATAAGTTGAGTGACAGGCTAAGACATCTCTAACTTGATATAAGTTGAGTGACAGACTAAGACATCTCTAACTTGATATAAGTTGAGTGACAGACTAAGACATCTCTAACTTGATATAAGTTGAGTGACAGACTAAGACATCTCTAACTTGATATAAGTTGAGTGACAGACTAAGACATCTCTAACTTGATATAAGTTGAGTGACAGACTAAGACATCTCTAACTTGATATAAGTTGATTGACAGGCTAAGACATCTCAAACTTGATATAAGTTGAGTGACAGGCTAAGACATCTCTAACTTGATATAAGTTGATTGACAGGCTAAAACATCTCTAACTTGATATAAGTTGAGTGACAGACTAAGACATCTAAAACTTGATATAAGTTGAGTGACAGGCTAAGACATCTCTAACTTGATATAAGTTGAGTGACAGGCTAAGACATCTCTAACTTGATATAAGTTGAGTGACAGGCTAAGACATCTCTAACTTGATATAAGTTGAGTGACAGACTAAGACATCTCTAACTTGATATAAGTTGAGTGACAGGCTAAGACATCTCTAACTTGATATAAGTTGAGTGACAGGCTAAGACATCTCTAACTTGATATAAGTTGAGTGACAGGCTAAGACATCTCTAACTTGATATAAGTTGAGTGACAGGCTAAGACATCTCTAACTTGATATAAGTTGAGTGACAGACTAAGACATCTATAACTTGATATAAGTTGAGTGACAGACTAAGACATCTCTAACTTGATATAAGTTGAGTGACAGACTAAGACATCTCTAACTTGATATAAGTTGAGTGACAGGCTAAGACATCTCTAACTTGATATAAGTTGAGTGACAGACTAAGACATCTATAACTTGATATAAGTTGAGTGACAGACTAAGACATCTCTAACTTGATATAACTTGAGTGACAGACTAAGACATCTATAACTTGATATAAGTTGAGTGACAGGCTAAGACATCTCAAACTTGATATAAGTTGAGTGACAGGCTAAGACATCTCTAACTTGATATAAGTTGAGTGACAGGCTAAGACATCTCTAACTTGATATAAGTTGAGTGACAGACTAAGACATATCTAACTTGATATAAGTTGAGTGACAGACTAAGACATCTCTAACTTGATATAAGTTGAGTGACAGACTAAGACATCTCTAACTTGATATAACTTGAGTGACAGGCTAAGACATCTCTAACTTGATATAACTTGAGTGACAGGCTAAGACATCTCTAACTTGATATAACTTGAGTGACAGACTAAGACATCTCTAACTTGATATAAGTTGAGTGACAGGCTAAGACATCTTGATATAAGTTGAGTGACAGACTAAGACATCTCTAACTTGATATAACTTGAGTGACAGACTAAGACATCTATAACTTGATATAAGTTGAGTGACAGGCTAAGACATCTCTAACTTGATATAAGTTGAGTGACAGGCTAAGACATCTCTAACTTGATATAAGTTGAGTGACAGGCTAAGACATCTCTAACTTGATATAAGTTGAGTGACAGGCTAAGACATCTCTAACTTGATATAAGTTGAGTGACAGGCTAAGACATCTCTAACTTGATATAAGTTGAGTGACAGGCTAAGACATCTCTAACTTGATATAAGTTGAGTGACAGACTAAGACATCTATAACTTGATATAAGTTGAGTGACAGGCTAAGACATCTCTAACTTGATATAAGTTGATTGACAGGCTAAGACATCTCTAACTTGATATAAGTTGAGTGACAGACTAAGACATCTATAACTTGATATAAGTTGAGTGACAGGCTAAGACATCTCTAACTTGATATAAGTTGAGTGACAGGCTAAGACATCTCTAACTTGATATAAGTTGAGTGACAGGCTAAGACATCTCTAACTTGATATAAGTTGAGTGACAGGCTAAGACATCTCTAACTTGATATAAGTTGAGTGACAGACTAAGACATCTATAACTTGATATAAGTTGAGTGACAGGCTAAGACATCTCTAACTTGATATAAGTTGATTGACAGGCTAAGACATCTCTAACTTGATATAAGTTGAGTGACAGGCTAAGACATCTCTAACTTGATATAAGTTGAGTGACAGGCTAAGACATCTCTAACTTGATATAAGTTGAGTGACAGACTAAGACATCTCTAACTTGATATAAGTTGAGTGACAGACTAAGACATCTCTAACTTGATATAAGTTGAGTGACAGGCTAAGACATCTCTAA